GGCTTGGGGTCTCAGGGCTGAGGTTTATTGGGTTATTTGTGTTTTTTATCGTAGTTGGGGGGGGGGGGGGGGGGTCTAGTTTTACAGGCAGGGCACCAGGTAACTGTTGATTCCTTCCTTTATTTGTTGCCCTGACGCGCTAACCCCTAAACCCCTAAACCCCTAAACCCCTAAAACCCCTAAACCCCTAACCCCTAAACCCCTAAAACCCTAAACCCCTAAAACCCCTAAACCCCTAAAAACCCTAAACCCCTAAACCCCTAAACCCCTAAACCCCTAAACCCCTAAACCCCTAAACCCCTAAACCCCTAAACCCCTAAACCCCTAAACCCCTAAACCCCTAAACCCTCACCCTCAACCCTCAACCCTCAACCCTCAACCCTCAACCCTCAACCCTCAACCCTCAACCCTCAACCCTCAACCCTCAACCCTCAACCCTAAACCCTAAACCCTAAACCCTAAACCCTAAACCCCAACCCTAAACCGCATTGTTTCTGTGTTGGGTGAGGGTTTGGCAGGGTTAGTTGGGTCGGTGGGCCGCCTCTTTGCAGCGCGGTCCGATGGGTTTGGGGTCGGGTCATCTATACCTACTTGAAAACCCTAAACCCTAAACCCTAAACCCTAAACCCTAAACCCTAAACCCTAAACCCTAAACCCTAAACCCTAAACCCTAAACCCTAAACCCTAAACCCTAAACCCTAACCCTACTCCCTAAGCCCTAAACCCTAAACCCTAAACCCTAAACTGCCCTACTTCAGAACCCTAAACCCTAAGTGCCTAGATCCGAAACCAGCGACTCTGGGCCTGTCGGACGGAGGTCCTGTGGGTTTTTGGTTTAGGGTTTAGGGTTAGAGTGTCAGGTCTTCTCCTTGAGGACTTACGTAGAGAACGAGACAGAGCAACCATAACTTCGAAACTCGAAACCCCAAACCCCAAACCCTCAACCCTATAAACCCTAAACCCGAAACCCTACATGCAACGTGTCTGGAGTTCTCCCAGTCTCCTAGTAGACTTGGGGGGGCCCAGTGGCCACCCGACATACCCTTGTGATACAAGGCTGAAGACGGCAATTTTGCTAGTCTTGTCCCGAAGGCTACCTCTGCATTCCCCTTTTCTTACGGAGCAAACGGCCGCGACTCAGAAGTGGGCAAGATTGTTCACGATGGAGATGATCGGAAGGTGGCTGCCAGGTTCGAGTTAAGGCTCACTCCAACATGCAACCACAGATGCTTCAGGGTGATCGAATCTTTCACTGAATACTCGATTGTGGAAGCGATGTCGATCGCAGACTTGAATGAAGAGATCTACGGGACCAAGTGCGAAACTTACTATGGTAAGTTGATGGCAGCTCTTGTGGCCGTAGTGATGACAACACAGGGAGTGTTCGGTGCAGGCAGGCTCCAGAAAGTTTCGTTCGATAGCTACCGGTCCAAATTGATCTTGCATTCCAAAGAGGCATCCTTAGATGATGGGCTCGGGTTCCCATTTTTGGCTGCCTTCCTTATGCTTTAGGGTACCAAGCAGGGGCCAATCCTCTTCCTCTTAAACCGCAACCCTTAACCCGAAACCGCAAGGCCCGAAACCAAACCCCAGACCCCAAACCCTAAAAAAACCCTCGAGCCGTGCAGTCATGCCCTCAAGCCCTAAATCCAAAACCTTAGAGCCTTGAAGACCGAACCCTAAACTCTCACCCTAAACCCTAAACCCTAAACCCTAAACCCCTAAACCCTAAACCCTAAACCCTAAACCCTGAACCCTAAACCCTAAACCCTAGACCCTAAACCCTAAACCCTTCAACCCCTGGGGCAGCTTAGGAGTCTCGCATCCATGACGCTCGGATGGCCGGTTGGACGTGGCACTTGAGGGGTTTACCCCGGGTTTGGGGGGTTTAGGGTTTAGGGTTTAGGGTTTAGGGTTTAGGGTTTAGGGTTTAGGGTTTAAGGTTCAGGACTTAATCATTGTAGGGCTTGGGGCTGGATAGTTGCAAGTAGGTATGTGTGCGTGCTGCTTCTAACCATCAACCTACAAGTAGGGAGCCCGGGAGTCTGTGAGGTTTAGGGATTCTGTGGAAGGTGCAGGGGGTGTAGGGCTGAGAATCCAAGGACCCCAAACGCTGCCCTAAACCCCCAGCCTGGAAGGTTGGACATTTTGTCATACCCGAGCTCCGAAATCCTAAGCCCCCTTAAGGTTCCAAGCAGGCCCCCCGAAAATCGAACCCTAAACCCCAAACCCTGAACCCTAAACCCCAAACCCTAAACCCGAAACCCGAAACTCTAAACCCTAGACCCCAAACCCCCAAGGAGTTCATCCAGGAAGCCGAGCGCCAGCGGGAGCTCATGAAACACAGACTGGGCCCCTTGAAGGGTTTAGCCGTTGCATTAGGGTTTAGGGTTTAGGGTTTAGGGTTCGGGGTTTAGGGTTTGGGGTTCAGCCGCTCCGGGTCGAGCAGTTTCATGGTAAAGCTATATTTACGGCTCCGATATAACACCCACCCACCCAGAGAATCCCATGACATTGAGAAGAAAAGAATACAAGCATTCTCCAATCATCTCAGCTTCGAAGGCCCGACCTCGCGCCAGGTCGTTCGCCCGTTTCACAGTCGGTAGCACCCGCTACCGGAGCCTGTCCTCGGGGTTCCTTGAAACTCCTGGGACACGCCTTTGGGATTGCCTGGGTCGCTTTGGCACAGACTCACTGGAACTCGCGGGAATTCCGGGAAACTGCGCCACATCGCAGCAAGCCCTAAACCCTAAACCCTAAACCCTAAACCCTAAACCCTAAACCCTACACCCTAAACCCTAAACCCTAAACGCTAAACCCTAAACCCTAAACCCTGAACCCTGAACCCTGAACCCTGAACCCTGAACCCTTAAACCCTAAACCCTAAACCCTAAACCCCGAACCCTGAACCCTGAACCAAAAAGCCCTAAACCATCGCAGCAGCCGAGGCAGCTTCGTCCTCGCCCCAAAGAATGCCAAGCTCGAGGAGGCTTTACGCCGACAGAAGGCTCTGTAGGGTTTAGGGTTTAGGGTTCAGGGTTTAGGGTTTAGGGTTTAGGGTTTGGGGTTTGGGGTTTGGGGGCGAGAGGGTTTATGGTGGGTTAGTATTGGGTGTGATGACCCCAGTTTTGGGTTCATTTAGTGCCCAAGGTAGGGCTTTGGGGCCTTAGTTTAGCGATTTAGGAATTGCGGGTTTAGGGTTTGGGAGGCTCAGGTTTGGGGAGTTCAGGGTTTGGAGCTTGGGGGGTGGGGTTTTACTCCTACACGAGCGAGCCCGCAAGCCTGACTTCCCCTTACGGTGTCGGAGAGATTTCCCTCCTTAAACCCTAAACCCTAAACCCTAAACCCTAAACCCTAAACCCTAAACCCTAAACCCTAAACCCTAAACCCTAAACCCTAAACCCTAAACCCTAAACCCTAAACCCTAAACCCTAGACAACCAACGCCCACAAACCTTAAGTAGTCGCCGTTTGAAGTGCCGGGTCGGCACCTCAGGGTTCAAGGGCTCACGGGCTTCTTTTAAAGGGATCCCCAGAAACACCCCAAGGGTTTAGGGTTTAGGGTTTAGGGTTTAGGGTTTAGGGGTTAGGGTTTAGGGTTTAGGGTTTAGGGTTTAGGGCCAAAGCCTTGACGATACCCGATACATAATCCCTTAAAGGGAGTATATAGGGTACCTCATTCCCTCATTCCCTCATTCCCTCATTCCCTACGAAGAACCAGCCAGTTGACCCAAATAAAACCGTACTCCCCCCCCCCTTTTGGAGGGTCCGCTTCCCTTCCTACCTCACACAGTAGGGATTAGGGAAGTCGTTTCTGCAGTCCCTTGCAAGACGCCTCGGTTTAGGGCTCAGGGCTAGGCCCTGAGTTCCTTCCTGCTCCAGCGCTCCCGAGAGGAAAGTTTAGGGTTTAGGGTTTAGGGTTTAGGGTTTAGGGTTTGGGGTTTGGGGTTAGGGTTGAGGGTGTAGGCTGGCACTTCTTTCCCCCAGGCCTCGCGTGAGGCCCGTGCCAAAGAGAAAGCCGACTCCAATGGGCCCCCTGGCCAGCACGTCTTCTTCGGGCTTAGGCGGCTTAGGGTTTGGGGGTTTTGAGTTTGGTTTTAGGCTTAGGGTTACATACGGTTATGGTGCCTTCTGCTTTGAGGCTCCTAACTTCATACGGGGCCGAGGGTATCCAAAAGGGCCCATGATTTCGAGAATCCCCCTCCGTATGGGTTTAACTTCCTTCGTTTGGGTTCAGGGTTTCTAAGTTGTGGACTACGGTGCAAGGCTTTCATTCCTTGTAAGGCTTAGGGGTTGCATGGTGCTTCTTTTACTGCTTTCGAGGTCCTGAACCCTGAGCCCCGATTTCAAGCATTAACTGGCATTAACAGTACCCCCCCCCCCCCCCTTAAACCCCAAACCCCGAACCCCAAACCCCAAACCCTAAACCCCAAACCCCAAACCCAAAACCCTAAACCCCAAACCCTAAAGCCCAAACCCTAAACCCCAAACCCCAAGCATCCCAAATGCCACGAGCCGAGGGTACACCGCGAGCCGGCCAAGCCGGTTGGCCACAGCCAACGTGCTGCCCTGCATGCGAATCAGACGAAATGACCCCCACCTTGGGGCGCCGAGCCGCAAGGAAAAAGAGTGCCTGTTTTGTTTTGAGGGTTTAGGGTTTAGGGTTTAGGGTTTAGGGTTTAGGGTTTAGGGTTTAGGGTTTAGGGTTTAGGGGTTTAGGGTTTAGGGTTTAGGGTTTAGGGTTTAGGGTTTAGGGTTTAGGGGGGGGGGGGGGGGTGTGCTGCAACTGATTTGGGAGGCTTTGGGATGTTGGGCTCGTGGGCGCTTCCGCTTTGTTGGGGCTCTCGGGATTAGCACGCTAAACTCTGAACCCTGAACCCGTAGCCCTAAACTCTAAACCCTCAACCCTGAACCCTAAACCCTAAACCCGAAACCCTAAACCCTAAACCCTAAACCCCAAACCCTCCGCCCTGAGGCCTCGACACTGCACCCCATGCCGAGGCAGCTACGACACCCAGCATGACCTGAACGACTTTGCGGCTGCCTTGAGGCTGCGAAGGGTTCTTCTCTGCAGGGTTTAGGATTTAGGGTTGAGGGTTTAGGGTTGAGGGTTGAGGGTTTAGGGTTAGGGTTCAGGGTTCAGGGTTCAGGGTTCAGGGTTTAGGGTTTAGGGTATGGGGTATAGGGTTTAGGGTTACCCTAATCCCCAAATCCTAAACAAGCCCTAAACCCTAAGCAAGTGAACGTAACAGGTTCAAATAATTTCAACAGGACTGCTTCAAACACAGCGGGCTTGAACACATCAGGTCAGAGACTGATTTGACAGCAAGCTTGAACAGCAGATTTGAACACAACAGATTTGAAGACAACAGATTGAACACAACAGGTCTTGTCCACAACAGACTTGAGCATGAGAGATGTGAACACAACGGATCCTGTGGAACACAGCAGTTTGAACAACAGTTCGACGCAATGGATTTAAGACAATGAGCCAACCTTACCACCAAAACCCTAAGCCCTGAGTAAACCCACAGGTATTGGGATGTTCCCCCTCATACTAACAGTCCTTACTAGGGATTCTCGTACCCGGGAACACCCCAACCCTAAACCCTAAACCCTAAGCCATAAACCCTACACCCTAAACTCGAAACCCTAAACCCTAAGCCCACAGGTACATCGCCGGGCGCCACAACCGCACACCCGCCTCGCCTTCAGGGTTCAAGGCGCTTTTGGTCGGAGAGCACCCTGGCAAAATGCTATGTTCAGGGTTTAGGGGTTCGGGTTTTGGGTTTAGGGTTTAGGCTTTAGGATTTAGGCTTTAGGGTTTAGGGTTTGGGGTTTCGCGTTTAGGGTTTAGGATTTGGGGTTTAGGGTTTAGGGTTCAAGGCGCTTTTGGTCGGAGAGCGCCCTGGCAAAATGCTATGTTCAGGGTTTAGGGGTTCGGGTTTTGGGTTTAGGGTTTAGGCTTTAGGGTTTAGGGTTTGGGGTTTCGCGTTTAGGGCTTAGGATTTGGGGTTTAGGGTTTAGGGTTTAGGGTTGCATGGCTTTGGAATGGGTTGTAGGAGCTTGGCAAGTGAATGTATCCTGGCACCTAAACCATACATCCTAAACCTAAGGCTGGAACCATGGGCCCTTAGCGTGGTCCCTTACCCTTGTTTATAGGGATCCGAAGTATGGGCCCTTTTTATATATAGTGTATATAAGGGTTGTATAGCAAGGGACCCAAACTAAGGGTCCATACGTCGGATCCCCTGCGAAACCTTAACCCTGGTAGTTCTGTAGATGCAGAATGCTTCCACACACCTGGGGATTGAGTTTCGGGTTTAGGGTTTAGGGTTTAGGTTCTGGGCGCCTTGACAGGTCATGCACAGTTGCACGCTGGGTAGCGGCACTTCAAAGCCCTACTTCCGGTACTTCCTTCCCACATGGTCACTAAAGGTCGAGTTTTTTGGGGTCCTTAGGACGGCCCCTACTATTTAGGGTACCCAAAAAGTGACCATCATTTCGAGAAGTGACCCTAGGGGAGCTTCGAAGAGAGTTCGGCCGTTCCGCAGATTTGCAGAGCTCCCTTGGCAAGTGCCCCTCAGAAGCCCTAAAACCTTAACCCGAACTCCCATGTGCGACTGCAGAGGGGGTCAGCATAGTTACTAATGGTATTCACCTATGGTCCCTTTTTAAATAAGTAAATAAATAAACAAATATAAATATAAATACATATATATATATATAAATGTATAAATAAATAAATTATATATATATATATATACATACTGTATTCACCCCCAAAACCCTATTCCGTTCCCGGAACCGTTTGCCATGATTCAGGTTTACAGGGTGCCCGGGAGTGCGGTCGGGGGTTCGGGGTTTGGGGTTTGGGGTTTAGGGTTTGGGGTTTAGGGTTTAGAGTTTAGGGTTAAATCCTAAACCAGAAGATGCCAGACCCGTAACTTTTCCAGTAGCTCCTTCCCGAGGTTCGGGCTGCCTCAGACGCGGGTACCCCTACAAGACGTCAGCTACGTCCTAGGCCTGGCAACTCACAGCCCTGTGCGCTTGTGGATTTAGGGTTTAGGGTTTAGGGTTTAGGGTTTAGGGTTTAGGGCTTGGTGTTTAGGGTTTAGGGGTTAGGGTTTGTGGCTTTGTGTGCCGGGACAGAGAAGGATTTGGAGTGTTTGCGGGGTTGCAAGCGTTCCTGGCATATGACACTATAGCTCACTTTCTGCTTTCACCTCTGGATCTAGGATATAACCATCAAGTTACCCCGCAAAAGACCTGTCATCAAATACTAAATGAACATAAGATAGAAACTGTATTGGGAAGGTGGTAAAGGACGAACAGATGGTGGGTTTCTTGGGGGCGAGGGAACCATAGTATTATTAATGGAGTTTATGCGTGAACAAAGTGAACAAGTAAACGAATGAAAGGCATGAAAGTAGTACATTCGAATTCTCTTCACGAAGCAGTAGAAGAAAGACAAAAAACAACAACATAGCGGGAAGAAGAT